GGTAGCTATAATACATAAGGAACCAAAAAAGACCGCTAGAGACAACCTCACCTGAGAAATTAATTGCAGCGATTTCATCATCCAGGTTAGATGTTAGTGTGATAAGTACGCGTATAATTTGCATTTACTGGTTACGCTGTAAGTGACTTCCGGAACGCCCTGGCAAGCCCGTGTAACGCTCACAGCCACCACTAAGCACCTAAGCAATGTGGCTGCCCTGACCGAAATCGATTCTGAGAAGAAGACGACTCGATCGCTGGGACAATACGTTTATTCGCCTGACATTTCGACATCCTTCGCCGATTCATCATCAGAGACATAAGCAGAGACCAGTAGCCGAAACGGGTCTGTCTGTTCTGTCTGTTCTAACAACTCAGATATCCAACCTAACATGGGGTATTAAGGCACGTTTCTTGCCGCTTCTCGCATCCAGTTGTTGTGACATTAAACATTTTTTTATTTTACGCAGTCAAACATGCTTTGAAAGTAACTGGATACAACTTTGAATAAGATGCAAAATAACCACGCTGCTTTCAGTTACCAACGTCTTTGTTCTTATTTACTAGGTTTTAACTGCTGGGATACTTCTTTCTCAGAATTCTGGATAAACTACTTTGTTTCGTATAAACCGGTAGGCAAGCATCCTAAGAAATGTAATTTCGAAGAAAGGCGTCCATTGGGAAAATGATTAAAATTTTTTCAGTAAATTTTCGATGCTGCATCCTCAGGTCGTCGTCAAACTTGATAAAAATGTGCAAAGAACAATTAACATTCCAAAGTTATTATACAGTTATAGAGTCGACTAGTGTTGGCGTTAATTGGTAGTTGCATTTTGCATCACAGCGGGATGAACATAAGTAGCAGTCGCAATGACGTAATGGCTAATTGGCAACTGTAATTTGAGTCGGTCTGGGGTCAGTCCGGGTCATCCGCTGTGAGCGTTAATTGCGCCCCATAGTTGTCAGCTGTAGTCACTTCCACCTTTCTTTGAGGGGCTTATACACTCCAGGCAACTCGATACGCCGTTTGATGCATGAATCATGAGAGTGCATAGCTTCAAGAAATTCTCGGCTTTTTTAGAGGGGCAAACTCCGACGATGCATGTTTTGTCCCATGCAAAGGTGTGTCCTTTGTCAAGGCAATGCATAGCCACTTCGGACAAATGGTTACGTCTCTTCACTGCCAATTGGTGCTCGTGGATGCGTGTGGAGACCGATATTCCTGTTTGGCCACAATATACCGTGTCACAAGCTTCGCATGGGATTTTGTAATGACTATTCTCTTATCGAAGTAGCCAACCCTATCCTTGGGGTGCACTAGCTGGGTGCCTAAAGTAGCCGTTGGTTTGTGTGCCACTTTTATTTGGTGTTTCCGCAAATGTTTTCGTATCCGACCGTCACCATTTCCATCCCTCTAGCCCCACCCACGACCCAGCAGCCCTGACTATTTGATAGCACCCGTCGCCCTGGCTTGCAAAATCCGCCTTCTCGCCTACTGCCCTTCCGTTCACTCGACCCCCTTATGCATTATTTTGACGGTAAGCTCTGTCTAGGAAGCTCCTTTGCTAGTCTTAAGTAATGGACTTCTATCTTTTCGTCTGCATTCCACCCGTGAAAGGAGAATGTTCTGTATTATTGGTGAGTTTATATGGATACAAAAGCCCATATAACCCGAAATATCTGTTCCACAATGTAATCATCAGACTTACATGGCGTATGAACTATCATTTATTAACGCACTGTACAACATCAAGGAAGATTTTAAGCATGACTTACTGCGCCATCATCTATCTTGCAGAAATTTGAGGTCAGCAGACCATTACCCCCTACTGGGTGTGACTCCTTAAACGCACACATAGGCAGTACTTATAGTATACTATCTTCTGGCCTTCGTAATCATGATTACTAAAAACTTAGCCCTTTAGCATAAACACGTACCTATAGCAGCAGTATCTCAGTCCGTAGTTAGCAGAAACGTACAAAGCTTGATGGATCGAGTTGAGAGTGCGGAAACCAAGGCAAACGCTGCTGTGCTCAGGCCCCCAAGCATGTTCTTACCCGAAATAGCTAAACTCAGAGTAACACTCCTTGTTGAGACCGACGGAATATGAGCCCTAGCGCTGGCTTAATCAGCGTCACCTCTGATAAATGGTGGCGTCAGTGCCAGCACCAGCACAACTAGACTTCTTGCCGTGATTTGTGGGATATGAGCCCCGTGCTGACTTTAATCAGCGTCACCTCTGACGTAAAACACAGTTAGCACCAGCACCAACAAGTACTATCAATTAGTTACACCCTAGTAAGTATTATTTGAAGTAGCAGTACCAGTCCTGGTTTACTAAAGTCTGGCTAGACACCTACTATAGGTGAGTGAGGGTAGATAGAACAGGAGTACCCGCGCAAAGTCTTCTGTCACTAAAGACTAAGTAAGACGTTGTATTGGCTTGCATTTGATACAGCAGCCCACACCGGACCCCGTTTAGTCTTCAGGACTCCGGGAGAAAGTGAAGAGTGCGGAAGCGCTAACTACGTCCTCTATCACTTTAACTAAAGCCTGAGACTGTCACATTCAGTACCAACCTGTTGGTGCACTTGGTGGACCTCATCGGAATCGATGGTCGAACATACATACACCCCCTACGGTACATAAAGACGCATTTCTGGTGACTGATTCTTGTTATTGCCAGGAACTGAAAATCGATTTTTGCAATAGTATGCGCGCACAGAATTGTAGAAAGATGCATACTGCTCTTACACAGATACGTGAACGTTGTATCTGAATACGTAAGCAAAGTCCTAGGGGGCAGACTTCAATTTTTTTTAAATTTCAAGGTGTGATCACTGGAAATACAGCCCGATGTGAATCATAAATATAATCAACACCACCATCATCATCATCATCCTCACCATCATCATCCTCAGCATCATCATCATCATCATCATCATCATCATCATCATCATCATCATCATCATCGATCATCATCATCATCATCATCATCATCATCATCATCATCATCATCATCATTAACTCATCATCATCATCATCATCATCATCATCATCATCATCATCATCATCATAATGGCAGAAATAATCACATTTGCCGAAACGATCATATCTGGTTCTTCTCAATAACTTTCGCTTGTATTTGTTATTTATTGAAGACGGAAAGGCAGTTTGTAGGCAGGACGAATGTAATGTATTGAAACTAAAGAAGACTGTCTGTAGACAGGACGTGTACTGAAGACAGGAACAGTTCAAGTGGCGAGTCAGGTTAATCACGAGGGCTTTATGGCATGGC